CTTTTTATTCTTATTACTTCATTTTCTGATAATCCATAACCATATTATGTATTTCAATTTGTGTCTAAAACGCAATACGCAATAAATTGGTGGTCATCTTTTATTATTATTAATTTATGTATACACCGTAAGTACTCCTATGAAAACCGAACCACATCTATTTCAAAAACTCGGTTCATCGATCTAAAATATATGATTTTCTTCTATTTTCCGTACGCCATAATAGTTCTGACATTTAATAATTAACCCATTAAAATTGTCATTTTTTCAAAAATATTAAACTAAGATTTTCAAATTGGCTTAAATAAATCTTTCGGTTACAGCATACGAAAGGGAAAGTTTAATTTATTATAATAACGACCTGTCAATATACCAATAATTACACAGGAAGCAGAAACAACTGAACGTAGTTAAAATGTTATTAGAACCCCCCCAAATTCCAGTCGGATGACGGCTCACGCGGCACCACATGAGTCACCGTGAAACTGTCTGATGACTGCCGATGAAGATTTTAATTTAGTTATGACCAAACAATGAACCGAACATTTTTAAGCGGTTGAGAGCTCTTTAACGATAGATGTTAATGAATTTTTTTTTCATGTTTTTTTTCAAAAATTTGATATTTTGTGGGTACTTTTTCAATCTATTTATCTAGCCATCATCAGGATTACAGTTTGTTGGTTATCTCCTGGTAAAAAATACGTAGCAAATATTGTATGCGAGGTTTTGCTTAACTAAAGTACGCTTTCCAAATTATAATAATTAGGCTCCTCCATGATTATATCCAATCAAATCCAGTCAAACATACGCATGGCGCAGGAGAATTATCCACCAGACATTAAGCTATTAAAATTATGATATTTACAATTCAAGAATGCATGAATGCAAAGTGCCACCGTTAAAATGCTTACGTTTCGCAATGCTTCGACCTCGATTAAAAAAACACCAACGTCCGTTGAGTATGTGGTTGCCGGGAGGAAACAAAATTTACAGGGAAAACTGCGCAAAACTGATAAAACGATTATAGAGCGAACTAAAAATAAATATTATCGCACCATATTTCTATCTAATGATGCACTATGATCAGTAATTAAAAATTATTTTAATTAATTTAAAGGACAGACTAGACACATGGAAAAGTAACTTTTTCTACTCCCTTCTGTAAAATACCTAATTGAATGCCGATCTAGCCTGCACTTCACCATGCGAGTTTCTTGTCCCACGGATCAGACTTCCTTCGGACAGGTTTGGGAGCAATCGGATGCTTTCGGAGACATTTCCCACGCTTTAGATTTTGACGTTTGTCAATTCTGACAGTCATGTCAGTGAATGTATCTATGTTATTTTGCAAAAATAAAAAATCAGAAAATCAAATACAATTGAGTAGCTAACGTGATTGGCTCGAACCAATTTATGCGAAGCCCATTAAGTAACTGGTACTCATTGATTCATTTAGGTTGACTGCCGGACCTAACATACATTTTAGGAATGACTTGTTTAGTATCCTTTTATTCCGATCTCTTTATGACAATTTTTTATTTTATAGTCAAGGGTCATCAAATAAATTACTCATTCCTCGAGTTATTCTCTTCTCCACTTTGTTCTACGAGTAATTAATTAAAAGATAAGAATAATTTTACTACACATACTATGTTTTAACAACTACTGGCGAGCTTAAAATTCAATGAAACCTCTGGCGGAAAAAAATATTAAGCCACATTTCGGTTTTATATGAGTTTCATGTTTGCGTTTATCTATTACTGTAATAGTCTTCTACAAAACTTCATATTTTACATTACCCGTTACATATAAAAGTCCAAAAGGTCACATTTGTTTACTGTTACCAGTGCTGCCATGGCAGAACAAATTCGCGAATAAATTGTTTATTTAAAAGTGACAGAAAAGGCTCTAAACTAACCAAAAATAAACATTAGTTCAGGATTATTGCAATATACCACCAATGAGGAGCAACAACTCAACAAATTTTTAAAACTCTATTAAGAGCCTAGCCTAACGGCCCAATAGCTACCGCAGGAAAAGATCTAGTTATGTTTCGTTTTATCAATCAATATCAATAGTCAACCTCAGGTTATGCTTATTATGTTATGATGGATTTATTCGAGATTTATACTGTTATTGTATATAAACTGCAATGAACCGCAAAATTATTTTGATTGATTGCTTCCTTTTTTCGATACTTTCCAGCATCTCGTTCTAAATTTATCTCCCAACAATTTGATTGAATAATTTACGATAACTGCAGTGATTACTCATCGATGGCTCATTAAATATTTTCAATACTGACACGTCTAATACAATCTCCTACCAGCGCACGCCATGCTATTTGCATTTTAACATATCATGATAAGTCAAACAAATTTTTGAGAAATGTTTTAGTTAGAAGCGGTTCAGTGTTATGATCCTAAGATCGTTAAGTATTATAACTTATTATAACAAATTATTCTGGTTGATTGTAGAGGTGAATAAAAAAAAAACTTTTTTTTCAGCTCACCCTAAATACATAGTTTATATTATAAGAATTTGGAATAGAAGTGATTCTGCCAATTTAAATTAAAAAACAATCGATAATGTCATTTACAAAACCAATGCGAAAGTAAAACTCAAAAGCTAAGTCTCTGTTGAAGCTGCAAAATCAATCTTCCGTCAATATCAACCTTCGATCAACCACAAGGAAAACGTGGTGATAGTCCGAACACAGTAATTATTGAAGTTAATCCAATATTTTCGATCAACCTGCTTATTTGGTCACGTATGAATCTATCACATTCTGGACAAATGTTTTTGCTAACTAACAGCAACAATTTGTCAAACCAATAGCACTTCGAGATCGCCACTCTTGCCACACCAGCTTACGCACCAAAATCACTCCAGTTTTTACAGTGTGGTGCGCATCTGCTAGTCTGTATGGTGTCGCTAAGGCTTTCGTTTTAGTTTAACGATGATTGTTACGCAATTGATTTTGCAAATTCGACTCGGTCTTCCAATAATAACTCAATGATAATATACATCCCATTATATCTATATAAAACTTTGCTGTACCTTCATGTTCTTCTCCTATGGAGGGTATAATCTACGTGGAAGCATATGTCAGGCATACGAAATAGTGCAAATGTAAAGTCTGTTCATAGATATAAGAAAGTGACTAACTGATACGAATTAAGGAGTCCCGGGCAAGCTGTAAGAATGAAATATGGCCGAACAGGTCCGTACTTTGCTTAGAATTTAATTATTTTGGGTTTTGTTAGGAAAGATACTAAACAATATTTATTTATTTATGTATGTATTTGTTTAAATCTAAAATAAAATTACAAATTATTTTTATTACCAACTTAAATTACTTAAAATTATTCACATAATATATCACTATCGCTATCATGGCCTGTTCTAATTATTATTTGTTCTATATTTATTGCAATATGGATATACGATTGTTCCGCTTTTTCTATATGTTTAACAGAATTTGCCCAACTTTGTCGAGGGAGGTTAAAAACTTCGGTTTCTATAAGTTTGAGGACATTGGAGTTAACACGGGGAAAAACATTGCTACGACGAATGGCAGATTTCAGTTGGTGCCAAACATATTCAATGGGATTAAATATACAGTGGTAAAACTGTATGCCCTAGATTTTTTGCACAATTATCATTATATTTTCTAGGTTCAAGCTTTGTAGAACCTCAATTAATTGCTTTTTGGTATAATCTTCGTGAAAATAAATGTTGTCATTATACATGTAGTTTTGGATTGTTGCTTTTGTGTCACATGAGGAAGGGGTTTTAGTCAACTGTCTACTGTGGTAACTTGCATTGTCCATTACAATTACGCTATTAGGAGGAATGTTTGGAACTAGTTTGTTTTTAAACCAACTTTCAAATAAATCAGCGGTGGTGTCTTCATGGTAATCCAGAGAAGAATCTTTAATATTTTACGCAGAGAGAGAAAGTCCATTTGGAATCCAACTATCTTTAGAGCCAGCATGCAAAATAGTTATTCTTTTACCTCTTTTTGATGGCGCGTTTGTTTTACACTTATCAGTTGAATCAACCCAACCCTTTTCCGGGGTATCATAAGTGTCGAACCCGGTTTCATCCAAGTAAATAATTGGCCTTTGTTGTTCTCTGTAAATCCTATTTTTCTAAAAGATTCCATTAAAACTTGCCTTTGCATTTTTTAAAAATCTAAAACCTATGTGTTGAATACACTTCCATAAGGTATTTCTGCCACATTTAACACCGGTTTCATCTTTTTAAAGCCTCCTAATTAATCTATCTAATGTAGGCACGCTTTGTTCCTCGTATAACTGGTAAATTTTACGCTGCATTGTTTTCCAAACAGTTGATGTTGGAATTTTCGTCAATGTGGCCGTTTCTTCTAAAGATGCTTGCTTGCTGGCACCACGTTCAATGAGAGTCAAATAAACATTGTTTATAACTTTTTTAGTCTCAATAGAATAGTGTTTTCTACATTTGACTACACTAGACTCGCACATATTTTGCATAACTCGTACACGATTCAGCACTCGCTGTATTACACACGAAATAAGAATGATTACTAATAAACTTGAACCAAGTAGTATACCAAACCAAAGAATATTAAGCACAGGTAGGTATACTTATATTTTTCTATTTTCTATATTCTATTACTATTCTATATTTTCTATTACGGATCACAATTTTACCTGAATTTAAATTCCGGTAATAATCTTGTTGCATTGTATGTTAATGGCCATGACCACCTTTGGATAATCCCATTCAAAAGCAATTGGTCACTTTCTTATATCTATGAACAGACTATACCCCATACCTACTACCGCAGACCAATTATGTAGCCAATGATTAAGTAAGTAGCAGCTATACCCAGTTAATGTCATCAATTTATTTTTCCGGAAAAACAAGAGGGCCAGTGAATACAAAAAAAGTAACATTGTCTTTTTTTTTATTAATCAAATATAATATCTATAATAACGTCACACCACACCTACCGTATGAGCATCACCGAACTTGCCGACATCTCGGTTTCTTTCCAAAGGAATGTGATTCGATGGGTGATTTCCCATTACGCCAGCAACAAAACGATACTATTCGAAATTGAAACTCTCTTTGCGAATCGCACAAAAACACAAATTGTCAAAAGTATATCCGTTCAACGGCAGATGTAGTCGCAGCGCTAAGCAGATGCTTCGAAAGCCACCACAGTGGTTCATCGAACTACTTTACCATCGAAATCCGACACAAAGAACTACCATTCCGTTGGTCCATTGTCAACGTACGAGATGCAATTATTACGTAAATGACTAGAAAAACGTGCTTGGTTTCGAGCGAACTGGCTGGGTTCGTTTCTTATCAATTGGAACCTCTTTCTTGGCACCCGACGTCCTTGAAATTACCCGAGGTCACTAATCCCAATATTTTTTAAAAAAACGATAAACGAATTGCCTTTTCACTTAGAGAGCTACGCGAAAACACCTGTAACAGCGACGGGACGTCTAATTTTCCAGAGATTTGAATAATGCGTCAGAACACTAACGGTTTTTCTTTCAATGCGGAAATTACGCCGGACATAAAGAGAAACGACGGAACACGCGATACCGGGAAAGGGCAGTTCCAAGAAGCGAGAAGGTAATGTGTACGCGTCGCGAAAAGAAAAACAAATTCCCGGCGAAGAAAAACGGAATTTTCAGCTCGCTCCCGAACCGGACGTGTCTTCTATACGACCATTATAACGTTTGGATGGAACGAGTGACGGTTAAAGGTATGTCGTATCCCCACACGGTTTCCTACTAGCGGTCCTAAAAATGTCGACACAGGTAAACGGACTACAAATCTGAAGCCTGCGTTAGACAAGAAGGGAGATACACGAAGACGACCGGTAGCCAATAAGTGATATCGAATCCAAGGACGATCATGGGACTTTTTTACAAGAGCTAAAATTACATTTCCCATGCAAATTGAAAAGGCAAACGCAATAATCATTAAAATAATATTTCATAAATATTTTTGGATCTTGGACACACATCTTCTTATCCAAGATGTGCGCTAGGTTGCTTCATAACTTACTCACACAACATTAAATACCATAACCTAAAAAGCATCTGACGTGACGGTGAGTAAGAATGTTTCAAATAATAACAACAAATTATATAATAAATACGTGTATTCTCAATTTCTTATATGGCATCAGCTTGATGTCTAAATGTCCAATTGGACGGAAACGGTAGTAAAAATGCTGTTGCTGATTCATTATTTAAACACATATCAATAATAACAAATATCAAATAGCGTTTCTAGCTTTAAAAATATACCCTACTAGCTGTCCCATTGTAGCATTTGGCAGTTGCAATTTGCTGAATTAAAAGATTAAAAACATTATACAAATATGCAATACGTAAATAGGACTTCATGGACATACCCTGCACGTAGTAAAACCTTAGACTTTGCAGTGGTAATTTTCTTAAAACCAAAAGAGATTGAAGCGAAAAGTAAAAAAAAAATTAAGGGTTTTGGCTGTGTGCGAGTGCAACTCATAACTCATAGCTCATGCTTGATCAGGCATAATTGGGTATTTTAGAATATGAAGTAGAAAAAATAAATTTGGAATATTTTTTGATCAATTTTTATTTTTAACTGACTTGTCACCTTCGGTAGGTATACTTTTCTTTGTTTGTTTAAATTTTAATTATGACTCATTCATTGCGTAGGTGTTTATACACATACCTCTTCATAGCTTTTTCAATACAGATGCTGGCTAATATATATAAAATAATTTCAATATAAATTATTAATTTAAATCAAATACAAATAACTAATGTATATTAAACAGCGACCATCTGTATTAAAAAAGCTACGAAGAGGTCTTTGTATTAACACCTACGTAATGAATGAATCATAATTAAAATGTAAATACAAAGAAAACTGTTCCAACAGAAAACAGTTACCGTAAAAAATATTTATAACACAACGGACACGTTATAAAAGCTTTCTTTATAATTAAAAGCTGTTGACGCAAAACGACAAGGAATGAATATGAAAATTAAAAAAGGTTCCACGCGACCTCCACTCATTTCAATGCCTTTCTATTTATTTATTGCGGCTGAAATGTCACCTCGATTATTCGTATTTAATTCTAAAATTGGGTTGTTATTTTTACATCTCTGTCCTGTAGCTCATTCAATAATAACTAATTTTTTTAATAAAATAATAAAATATCTCTTTTACACGCCATATTAGGCTGTTGTTTTAACAATATTACATAAAATGTTCAAACTCTAAATTTTCGTTTATTGTGGAGTTCAGATTCACATAATTTTTGGAAACCGTATTGTATTATCTGCAGGAAAACAGGGTCTAAAATTACGCTAGATTATAGTTTCTAACTAAACAGGGCTGAAACCCAAAAGACGGATAAATTAAATTCGAAAATTTGTGTAGTCTCACAGGGGACACCTGTGTATCCTAGCATTTAAAAAAAGCAACAAGAAACTAACCAGTGATTAAAAATTGTCAAAATATAATTTTAATGGAAAATCTTACTGACACAGCTCAGATAAAAGCAGTGCTGTAATATATAATATTATGCAACAAATTTGATAAACGCCACTTTATCTTTTTATATAGTCGGAAGTTTGATTTGGTACCATCAGAATGAGTGTATAATAAACGAGTGACTGGAAATATCGCGATTGCTCCCAAAGATGTGACTCAAGCACCAGAAACGCCCGCGGTGTCTTTTTCTGTACGTTTGATCAATGCATACTGATAATGCGAAAAAATATTTAGAATTTTTGAGTAATGTTTAAAATTGTTTCAACTCCGTGCTCTAAACTACCCAATTAAGCACTGCTCAGAAGTGTGATTTTAGTCACTGATGGCATTTTGACGGTTGGCAACTCTGATTGTCACTTAATACGTCATTCGGTCAATATATTCATGATGGTTTTTCAAAAATGTACCCAAAAATAATAGTAAAAAAAGGTAAAAATGATAACTCGTGACGAAAGTGTTCTAAAAGGGACTTAACGAAAATAAATCGAGCACTTTCTCTTAATTATAAATGCAGTTGAAACAACTCACGTATTACTATTATCAAATTAGAACACTATAGACACGCTAATGGTAAACGTCAATAAATAATTTTTGATCTTTTTTTAACGTATTATGAAAACTGCGTGTCACAGCACAGTTTCAGGCAGATGTGAAAACATCCACGACCTACGTTCAATAACGAGATAAGCAGGCTTATCAGGCTCTGAGGATGACTATATAAGATGTAAAAATATTATGGCATTTTTGATTTGCAAAATTACTATTCCAATCAGACTAGCCCAATGAAAGTTGTTAAAGCACCTGAAATTGTCTTCGTGATAATTGCTGCTCTCTCTCTCTCTCTCTCTCCCCCCCCCCCTCTCTCTCACTCTCTTTCATGCAGTACATCGAAAACACTTGCAGAAAGAATTAACTAAGTTGACTGCACATTTTGGCAAAAACTTTAACAATAAGTATTATTATAATAATTGCGAATACCAAAATAAAACATAATAGGGTTAAATAATAAATATTCATTTTTCTTATGTATTGACTACATACCTGCTACCGAATTTGATAATATTGTATATTGTGTACTGAAGATAAACACTGGCACTTATTGAGAAATTTTTGCGTTAATTTCAAACTAACCATACGTTACGCGTACCATTAGTTTTGATGCGCAAATAGATCTGCAATATTTGCCCATTACCAGTAGTAAATTAACCACTATAATTAGAATTATGTTAACTATTTTACCAAGTACTTAACAATTTTGTTAATTGCCGGTTGTAGTACCTGTTCTTCAGGCTTTGGCAAAGGAACTAAAGATTGGTGATCCTGTATTAGGTACTAGATAGAATATGTACTAGCTTCTTTGAGTGCGTGTATACCAGTTTAGGATGTTATCAGCAGAATGCAGATGTTTAATCGTCAATTAAACAAAAAAAACCAGATTAAATCACAATTGTTTCAATGTATGCCTATCGGGTGTCTTCTCCAAAAAGTGTTTTACCATTTTTACGATATTTAATTTTTCAAAAATTATACCTACTATTGCGTGCAGTCGTGTGTATTTTTAGATTTACTTGAAGGAATATTTGAATTGGTAGAGGGAGATATATCACTGTCCAACACTTCCATTAATCAAAAATATTCAGCAAACAAATTTTTCGAGACGCTCTTTGTTTTCACTTATTTGAAATTTTTTATTTTGGGACACCTCACGTATCTCAGTTGTGTTTTAACAGGTCTAAAACGTACGAATTGTTTCTTATGTATCTTTTTACGTAGAATTCAGTAGCGTACTTATTTTTTAATTTTATGAAATGAAGCGCAAGTAACAGCTTATAAATTTTGTAATGTTTTATTTGTCATATTTTAGACTTTTAGAAATATGTTATTACTTATTCTTAGCTCGTTTCCAAAAATAATCAAAATTATTTCAAAATTTAGGACCGCATGTACTTTCAAATAACATAAAAACTAGACACTCTATACTCGATTGTTTTTCATAAACTCGATTAAATATTTTTTGATCTCTCATTAACGTGCTAATACGAGTTCTAGGCATATAACCGGAAATATTACCATTAACCGCGATATTATTATTTGCAATTAGGGGTTTTTGCAGTTTTTTGAAAATTTACAACACTGATCACATACAAATAAAATTTATTATTATTTATTACATTTCAAACGTCACCTATTCACCGCTAAATTGTTGTTGCCTTTAATAAACTTTGGATTTTTATTTTCCGACTAGCATCCCAGAAAATTTGCTTGATTTGTTGCTTTACTAACCAACTATCGTTAGTTATGGTCTGTTCATAGATATAAGAAAGTGACCAATTGCTTTTGAATGGGATTATCCAAGGGTGGTCATTAACATGCAATGCAACAAGATTATTAGCTAAAGTTTCGGAATTTAAATACAGGTAAAATTGTGGTCCGTAATAGAAAGTAATTTGATACCTACCTGTGTTTAATATTCTTTGGTTTGGTATACTACTTAGTTGGGTTGACTCAACTGATAAGTGTAAAACAAACGCGCCATCAAAAAGAGGTAAAAGAATAACTATTTTGCATGCTGGCTCTAAAGATGGTTGGATTCGAAAATCGACTTTCTCTGTCTGCGAAAAATATTAAAGATTCTTCTCTGTAGTACCATGACCACCGCTGACTGATTTGAAAGTTGGTTTAAAGACAAACTAATTCCAAACATTCCTCCTAATAGCGTCATTGTAATGGACAATGTAAGTTATCACAGAAGACAATTGACTAAAACCCCTTCCTCATGTGACACAAAAACAACAATCCAAAAATACATGTATAATAAAGACATTTATTTTCACGAAGATTATACCAAAAAGCAATTAATTGAGGTTCTACAAAGCTTGAACCTACAAAAGGAATACGTCTGTGTTAAGTTTATATTTTATATAAATACAACAGAAATTTCGAAAACTAGAGAAGTAAGTACTTTGACAGCAACAGTATTTTTTTATTGAAGTATGTTTGTGTATTTTTATTTCTGAACCAAAAAAAAATTACATATAATTTGTTTCCACGACGATAACTAATCTTAATTAACAATAATATATATTTGTTAAGTGTCGAGAACATTTTTCAAAATGATTTTCTAAACGGCAATGAAACTACCGCAAAAGTTTAACAAGGCCTCGGATTTCCATCTGCAAATTTACGTGCACGTCA